ACATCTGTGATTCTTGTGCATAAAGATTCTTGTGCAATTGAATAAAGATTCACTTACATTAAGATTCTTGTGCAATTGAAAAGACATGTTTACAATATCAAAACACCTCTGGGATTATCATAAATTTCTTCCTCTGGGATATACATTTACTTCTCAGTGGCTTTTCCTTAGCACCAAAGTACAGCCCTTTTGTAGCACCAAATTATAGCCTGTTTTACACTTTGCTCAAACAGTTCTTTTATGTCCCTACACCACCCGCTATTTCCAAACTTAATGGGATAATACTGTATTCTGTGGGATGAAGGGGTCTGATTTATTTATTTTTTGGCCGCACCTGGCAATGCTCAGAGCTCATTCCTGCTTCTAAACTCAAGGATCACTTCTGGAGGTGTTTGGGGAACCACATGTGGTGCCAGAGATCAAACTGGGTTTGGCCACTTGCAAGGCAAGCACTCTCAAGCCTGTACTCTTTCTCACTGGCCCCTGTAATGGTATTCATAGCCTCACAGCCTGGCAAACAGTAAGCACTCAGTAAATGCTGGGTGAATTTAAAATAACATCATAAAATAACAATGGTCATTATAACAAACAGTGGGCATTACAGAAATCCTTTGGGATTTCTAACATTAAAACATTTTCATCCTGTCTTAATTTTATTATGTCAGACAGACAAGTCATTGGAACATACTCTTTCTTGTACTTAAGAACGAATCTTATGGAGTTCAATTTTTTCAGCTTCATTCAGGGTTATACACACAACACGTTACTATTAAATGCCTATTGAGTACAACTCAGCAACAATAGATAAATATTTGATCAACTAATTTTTCTAGGGTCACCACTTCCTGTGGTCACCATTTTTATATGGCTAAACCCTGCTGTAGTCACTGACATTCATGACTCACTTTCCAAACACCTTTCCGTAAAGATCATCATTATTCTGCTCAAGCAACAGCCTGAGGGGCCTGGGCTAACACGCTTGCAACAGGAGCAGATTCACTCGAATTATATAATTCCTGTGCTAAGAACGTCTGTTTCTGCGATGAGTTCAAGTACTTTGGTCATATTTTTCCCTAGAATTCTTTTAGAAATATGGATCTAAAGAATAAATAAAAAATACTTACACAGTTGGTTGCATTGTTTCTCTGATTTTTCTATATGCTAGTAAGGATGCAGATCCTACTGTCTGTATAATTAAAGAAACAAACAAAGAAAGCTGCAGGCTTCCACCACAGGGTAACTGCTTGGGGGAGGGGATGTTGGAGTGAGGGCAAAGGGTTACAGAATGCAAAAAAAAAAACCTGTCAAATTTGGTCATTGTGGTTCTATCTCTCTTTGCACTAGGAAACATTCTCTCTTTCAGAGCATGAGAATGAGTAAATCATAAACAATTTACATTTAGACACTAGCCAAAATTTAGGATTCACACATTAACTTATATTCAGGATAAAAAAGAATTAGAATAATAAGGCAAGGCAGAGCTCAAAATTTCCAGAAAGTGCAAAGCAGAGAAAGGAACCCTCGGGATTTAGAGAGAATAACCCTCGTGATTTAGAGAGAATGACACTTAAATGTACTGTTATTTATCTATTTTTTTAACGATTTTGTAATAAACAGTTGGAACCATTTTTCTTAATGTTGACATCAAGAAAACTAAAGCTTTTTTCTTTTAAATAGAAAAGAAACCAAAGGGAAAAAATTCTGAGGTAGTGTCAGGAAATCACAGGATAAAGTCAGATGTACAGCAAAGGAAGGTGGGGTATTTGAGGATGAGAGCTCACGTGTGGAACTGTCCTTATGAATGTTCGACTTCAATTTTTTAAAGAAATCACTGGGCTGTGTTTCAAGTTTAGACACCCATCAGAAGCTTGTTTCCCTTGGCATCTCAAGATCAATGTAATTACTTGTATGACAAGTGATTTTTGTCTTCACACATAAACCAATGGGTTTGTTCTCACTAGACTCAAAAAAAAATTCATTCTCTTCTGATAAAACTCAAAGCACAAGCTAGAGAAAGCATCTGAAAATGCTTCACAAAGAGATCACACATGATTTAACACTAAGACAAAGAAATAGGACCAAATGAATGTAAATACAGAGACAATGAAGTCAATAAACAAATACTTGCTATATACTGCTCTATAACCCAAAATCACATTGAAAGTTGTTAGTAGGTAACTCAAAGAGGAGCTTATAAATCAGAGACTAGAAACTTTCAGAAACCACCTAACACATGAACAACTTTATCATATTATAGATGAAAAAAAATAAGGCTTAGATAAATTAGTTGCCACATTGAAAGGAATCAAGGGAAATGGCTCAGCTGGCAGCAAAACAAATATTCTCTCAATTCCAAGCTTTTCCATGCCAATGTCAATCAACTAGTGTCAAACCAGGCAGCATAATTGCTCCGAGGAAGTGACATTACATGGTTTCACATCACTATAATAGCAATTTGACATTTGAAACCCACAAGGTGAGCAGTACATTGCCAGATTCATTTAAGTGTGGTGACACATAATAGAAAGCCATCACAGGTGAAGAATGCATGAAGTACAATGATATATTTTCAATTCATGCAAATCCATCATTTCCAAGTTAGATTGATGCTTTATCTTCATTACAATAAATATGGAAGTGACATGTGTATTGATGTGAAATTCTCGCCTAGAGAACTCTGAAAATTGGGACTTATTTAGTAATTATGAGTTCATCTGCTTTATAGGAATAATGTATAGAAGAATGAATGAAGTCAGCCAGAATTTCAGCTGATCTGATGTAAGTGGCCATCTGCAGGTTGCGCTAAGATGTGATGAAAACCTCCCAGTGGTTTGAGTGTGGGTGTTGCAGGAGGTTGCACACACTTTTGGTCCCAGAGTCGACTTCTGACATCAAGATAATCCTTACCAGACATTTATTTTTCTGTGTCATGAGATAAATTCTGATGTTTTAGAAAATGTAATTATTTCTGTTGAAGGGATCAGAATGTAAATGCTTAGATGCTAAGATACAAGCAAAACCTGCATTGCTTGGAAACTGGTATGAAATCAATTTTTTCAAAATTAAATGCTTTTTCTCCAATTTGTTCTATATTTTCTACTCTTTTTCTTAAATTATTTCACCCCTCCTGATACTGATATGTTAATATTAAAAATGAGCTCTAGAAACAGGTAAAAAAAATCGACACAAATATTTTACTTATAAATGTAATCTAGCAGTCAAAATAGTACAATATTTTATTGCACCTGAAAGTCTTTACTTCTGGGAAGAAAAGGATCAGCATGATTTGGTGCATATTTTTAAAACTATTTTATATCATCAAAAGGTTTACATAAGGAAAAAAACAAGGTATAAAAGTACTTTATGAATAAAATATGCTTTTTCTTAAACACATCTGAGTGTGTGTGTGTGTGTGTGTGTGTGTGTGTGTGTGTGGTGCTGGGGATTAAACCCAGGACCTTACATGTATGAGGCAAGTTCTCTACTGCTGAGCCACATCCCTAGCCCCTAAAATATTCTTTTAGTACACCAAAGTCCTAATATTTAAAAATTAATAAATATTTGGTTTATGTTTCTAAACATATGAAATAATTATTCAATTTCCATTAAAAAGACCTAATATACTTAGATAAGAGTATCTTTGTTTAGGGGCTGGAGGGATAATATTGCTCCACATGTGAGTGACCTTAGTTTAATCGTAACTCAACATGGTCCCCTGAGCATTACAGAGATGACCCCAGTTTTCTCTGGCACCACAGGGGTTGAACTGCAGCACACCCTTGAACCTTAGAATGGGCTAAAATCACTGGAAATGCTCCCTGAGTCCTCTGAGCACTGCTTGTGAGATCACCCCTACCCGTACAACCCTACCCCTGCGAAAAAAATCACAAAGCTTTGTTTAAAGATATTAAAGTAAGGCCGGCCTGCCTGCCTGCCTGCCTTCCTTCCTTCCTTCCTTCCTTCCTTCCTTCCTTCCTTCCTTCCTTCCTTCCTTCCTTCTTTCCTTCCTTCCTTCCTTCCCTCCTTCCTTCTTTTCCTCCTTCCTCTCTCCTTTCCTACTCCCCTCCCTTCCTTTCTCTTTTCCTCTCCTCTCCTCTTTGTTACTACATAGCACATAAATTGGGTCAAAATTTGTCCTTAATGATGGAGTCAAGCCAAATATGTATTATGAAAGATTTTGATTATTAAATATGTATTATTAAATATCACACTGTCTTATGAGATGTGATATTTATTAATACAAGGAAAAAAACAAGGTATAAAAGTACTTTATGAATAAAATATTATTTTTCTTAAATACAACTCTGTGTGTGTGTGTGTGTGTGTGTGTGTGGTTATGAAACAGGCTATGTATCATTTCACAATCAATGAGCAAGGGGTGTAGTATTTTGTTTAAGAAAAACTAGCTTCAAATCCAAGACTGAAAAGAGAAATGCTGACTTGCAAAATGACAGATCTAATTTGACAATGTATATTTCCTAGAGTTTTTATTGTTCTTTTAGTTTTTTACTGCAGTTTATCAATTTTGCTAGGTTGGTCAATACAGCAAAAACTATGAAAAACATGACATTCTATCTTTAAACCTACAACTAAGATAGAAATTTATCTTATTTTGGGGGGCCTCCCAGGCAGTGCTCAGGAATGCAGGGTCCCCTCTAGCAATACTTGGCAGCAGAGATGCAGTGCTAAGGTCCTGTGGTGTCAGGGATTACCTGGGCTACTCCAGTGATTCTCAGGGGTGACATTTATTTTATAATAAATGTTTTTTTTAAAAAATAAATAACAGTTATTTTATAATAAATATATAATTTTTAAAAGTGAGACTATTTTTTTAACTAGGAAGAATGTATAAAACTTAAAAAAAGCACATCTAAATGAGTATTTCAGGAATATATAAAATGCCGGGTAGAGCATGTTCCTGGCAGAATTCGATTCTAGGGAGAGTGAGTGCACAGACAATGCCTGGGAGTGAAGGCGAGGCTGGAGAAGCAGGGGCTCACCTGTATTCTCCAAAAGTGCCATCATCTTCCTTCATGGGCTGGATTTCAGGATCTGCATGAGCATCTTCCTTTTCTTTAACTAAAAATTTAATAGAAATAATTATTTATGCTCCTGATTCCCTTATTTAAAAGTTGCAGTCTTTTAGAAACACAGCAGTAGAGAATAATGCTCTACATTGTAGATGTCATACATGCAGTTCTCTTACATAACCACACGCAATGTATTTTGATTTTTTAATCACTCCTAGGCAATTAAATAGCACTGTAGCATTGTTGTCCCGGTTGCTCGAGTGGGTACCAGTAACGTCTCCATTGTGAGACTTGTTGTTACTGTTTCTGGCATATCGAATATGCCGCGGGGAGCTTGCCAGGCTCTGCAGTGCGGGCGGGATACTCTCGATAGCTTGCTGGGCTCTCCAAGAGGAATGGAGGAATTGAACCTGGGTCGGCCATGTACAAGGCAAATGCCCTACCCGCTGTGCTATCACTCCAGCCCAGGCAATTAAATAGAATGAACATTTATTAACACACAAAACTGACTTCATGTAAGCATTCTGATACAAGTCTCTTACTGATGAAAAAAATCTTAGATTTCTAAGGTTTCTTTTCTATTCCCTACTTGTTCTCTATATGCAGGCTATAAGTTGTACTTCTATTCTTTTGCAAATTTTCCTTGTAATTGAAGACAAAATGGCGAAAGAAAACATAAATTAACTACACTGAATAAAACATTAGTCATCTAGGGAAAGCATGTCATATATGACAGTAGCAAGGTCACACTTAACTTTCTGTGGGAAAACTTTATGAACTTTCCCTTGGTTGGTTGATTTTAGCTTCTGTATCAGTACTCATAATAACTTACTTAGAGCTTAATGATACAGAGTCTCTCATATCTTCAGGCAACAAATTAATTTTATTTCTCCAAATGCACTCCAATATTTGATACGATTAGGCTGCCATTAAATAAAGAGGGATCAGGGGCTGGAGCCATAACACAACGGGTAGGGCATTTGCCTTGCACGCAGCTGACCCGGATTTGATTTCCAGCATCCCATATGGTCCCCCGAGCACCGCCAGGAGAAATTCCTGAGTGCGTAAGCCAGGAGTAACTCCTGTGCATTTCCAGGTGTGACCCAAAAAAACAAATAAAAAATAAAACAAATAAATAGGGATCAAATATAGTTTGAACAACAACAACAAAATGCTATAGCTCTGGGAAGATACACATATTGGAGTCAACACACTTATCCTCCTGGTTTCTTTTTAATTTAATGGCTAATTACACAACATTATAAGGAAATTTAAATCTTTCTTACCTGGATATTTACCACCCTTGTTTCTTCTGATGAAGCAAACGATCAGCAAGATTAAGATGAGGAGCGCAACAGCACACATTAGACCGATGAACCAGCCCTGAGTCGCAATATCCACTTGACGACTTGCCATTGCTGGAAAACAAATGAATGGTGTTCGTGGGCATGGGGTGAGAGAGGGGGGACAAAAACCACTGCATTTTCTTGTAATAAAACTTATACTATAGATGACCTTGTATATATTTTACACATGACCCCACAATGGAATCTTGTGGTCATCAAACAAGAACTACAAAACATCTAAAAATCTAGAAATTGTCATTAATTTAAAAAGTTCAACAGACAAATCTGAATGTGAATACCATTAAATGCTAACACACCTTGCTTAAACATTGTGCTCGTGGTTATTTTAGTTTCATATTTTCAGTAAAAACACAGAGCAAAAACCAAGTAGAAACACTGACTGCTCATAGAGTAAATTGTACATTAAGTACAATGTAAGAAAATAAGACTGAATTTTAAACAGAACAGAATGTATATATTTAATGGAGTATTTTTCCTTCAAAGAAACCACTTTGGGAGGCTAATATAATGCTGTCATTTGAAAAAGGTGTCTTGGAAATCTTCTATCAAAAAAGAAAACTTCCATACAAAATAACTAACCATATTATTTTTTACAAAACACATCAATGTGCACTTTGATTTTTTTAAAAATTCATCTCATTTACAGGAGTCAGTTCTGAATGACTTTTGAAAATTTCTGAAAAATCTTATTTATCTTGAAAGGATCAAAATTCAATTTATGTTTAGAGTTCATCAAAAGACCTGAAATTTATCTTGATTAGTGGAATAAATATTGGAAGAAGTGACCAGTTTAAAGAGAAAATACTCATTCACATGTATATGCATTCTTTAGGTCTTTAGCTATTCTGTTTGAGTAAATAAATGTGAAATTCCTTATTCAGTCACAGTCACAATATGCAAATCTCCTAAGAAAAGCTAAGAATTAACATTTCTGGTATTATTCAAAAGTGTCAATCAAATGGGACAAAGTGCAGCATTAATGGCTATTTAGACATGCCCATGAGGATTTGTTTTCATAAATGAATCCCTCTTTGGAAAGACCTTTCATTTCTCTTTTGACCATGATCAAGTTAAAAGCTTTTCTTCTTTTGCCTTTACAAGCATGCTTATATCATGCTTTCAATTTGAAGTTCTTTTGAATACATTTAACATGACTGGGTTAGGTGTATGCGATCTCTAGATGCAGAAATAAGCATGACTATGCACATCCCAGTTCTGCTATATGTTGCAAAAACAGCACCTTATTCCTTTTTTCCCCTCCGAAATATGGGGAGAAAAATGATATGCTTAACATCAAGCATGAAGAGGAATATGAAGGCATATGTAGCTGTACATATAAAAAAATAAAACGCGAGGTGAAAATACATGGTCTGGAACACTGCAAATGTCAAGAGCCTTTCTTCAATAGCACCGCTGTTAGAGGGATTTTGAGCTACATTGTAAGCAGACACAACTAAAGCATGAGTAGAGGTGACCCTCCTCCATACATGTACCATAGTTCGAGTGAAAACAACAACTTTGCTTGACTGCCTTTTATGTAAGAAGGGTCCAAAAGGCCAGAAGTCTTCCAGGACCCTTGAAAATTACCTTAACGATAGACCCTCAAACAGTGCCAGGTGTGGCCACAAGGGTGCATCAACACACACGCAAATAAAGACAAAACACAGCCTATTTCTTCTTGAATCTGAGTTTCCCTTTTGTTGTGAAAAATCACTTTTCTCCAATAAGCTGCTATCATGGACATTACAGTAATTCAGAGAAACATCATGTCATTGACAGGTGATGTGCTTTCTGCGCTGAGCCCTGGAAGCATCATTGTTGCATCTGTGTTTTCATAGCTGGGTATTAGTAGAACCGGGTAGAAAAGTGAATGAAGATTTTCACTTTTCTGAAATCTTTTACCAGAAAGTTACATTCAAGTATTACTCAAATAATGCAGAAAGTAGTAATCCAAACAAATACATGTAAGGAATATGAATAAAGAAAATAAACCAGGGGAATGAAACTTGCTTTGCTTTTCAAGGATTGACTTTAATTACTATCTTTTATTGTTATTTTGCTTGCTTTCCTAGGGATAACCTATGATCTGGGATATTGTTTTTGAGAAAAAAATGCTCTTGAGTCGTTAGAATAGTAGAATCAACTCAAAAGGCACTGTGACTATCTGTTATATATGATTTATGAATACTTCATGATGAATAAAAATGTTCTGTTTAGAGTAGTTAGAAATACTTAAAAAGGTGGAAATGACTATAGCCCAAATTTAGTGGTGACTGAGTAAAAATTTAGTAAAAGTGAATATGCTTTCAGTTCTTGGCATGTTTTTGTTTTTGTTTTGGGGTCACTCCCAACAGAACTCAGGTGTGCTCCTGGTTCTGTGCTCAGGGCTCACACCAGTGATTGGAGGAATATATGCGGTGCCATTGTGCCAGGGATAGAAATGGGATAGCCACCAGCAAGGCAAGTGTCTTAATTTCTGTGCCTTAACTCTGCCAGATATTCTCACTGGTTCCTCTCTTGTTATTACCTTCTTAGAAATATGAGAAAAGGAGAGACACAGTAATTGGGGGAGAGAGATGAGAGAGGAAGAGGATGACATGGGTAACAATGTAAGGTCCAAAAGAAGTATCAATGAGATGGTGAGCATCAGGACATCACTTGGCCTTGTCTGATTTGTTTTTCAGCCTATATCATAGGGAAAAATTTTAAAAAATGACATCTTAACAATCCAGACTACAAAATGCAGAAACAGGTGTATTAAGAAGATTCATAAAATAAGCAGAGTTAGATGATGGATCTAGGTCTTTGAAATGAGCAGGGAGAAGAGCAGTGGGAGCCAGGGAGGAGAGAGAGAGAGAGAGAGAGAGAGAGAGAGAGAGAGAGAGAGAGAGAGAGAGAGAGAGAGAGAGAGAGAGAGAGAGAGAAGGAGACAGAGAGAGAACTTACACTCATGTATCAAAATTTACGGTGGAGGAGAGGAGAAGCAAGAGTAGTGGAAGACAATGCATCAATGCATGCTTTCACACTGGAGTCTCTCCTGAAGCTCTAAAAGAGTTGCTCCTGAAGTAATATGTTAACCAAGATCACTAGGGTTTGGTTAACACTTTTTCTTTTTCATAGTTACATTTATATATAAGAGGTGTTGGCAAAAACTGGTGGTGGTCTTGTCCTATCCTTCCATGGCTGGCACACAAGAACCCCCACCCCTGACAATGACTCACCTTGAACTTCCTGACAACTGCAGGTAAACCATAGAATAAATTATTTTCTTTTCCAAGGAGTTTGCTTTTTGTTATGTAAAAACAACTAAAATGCTGCAACTTGATTTTGTGCACTGAACCTGACTCTAAGTAGATCTGTAAGCTCAAAGGAAATGTGCCTTTAGGGGTTCAGACTAGCTGGAGACAAACAACCAAGGACTAAATGAAGTTGTCATTTCTGAGACAACCTGTTCCTCTTAGGGTGTGGGTCTCTGGGGCCCTGTATTTCAGGTGTGGTGAGAGGCTCCCTTCCCTGTTGGAAGGCAAAGCCTCTCCCTGTTTAAACTGGGTGACCTGAGCTCCACCTTTCTGATTACTGACAGAGCTACATTGCAGGACTTTTGTATGGATGAAATGAGAAAAGCCGGAAGGTCCATTTGCCTTGTACAAATCATGGTAATACTATTACTATTACTGCATCCTAGCTGTATCTGACATAATATCAACCCAATTTTTGATTTTGAAATTAAACAGCAAACAATTCTATAAATTGTTTTGAATGCTATGATTATCTTTAAAATTTAATACATTTTTCTTAAAATTTTGCACAAATATGAAAATACAAGAAATAACAGGCATTTTTCTTTGAACATTATAGCACGTGAATGCTTAGAAATTATTAAATATTGCCTTTGTTTTTTAAAACAAATGACTGTGTATTTTCTAAACTCTGACACATGACAATAATGCTTGGATTATGAAAGATAAAAAAGTAAGTTCTGTTAACGATTTCTACAAGACAAATAATAATTCTTGGGTTATGAAAGATAAAAAATAAGTTCTGTTAATGGTTTCTACAGAAATGCAACATTTCCTTAAGAATCCATTAAGTGGTAAAATATAGGATGGGTGAATGAAACAACTGAACACATACCACACAAACTTTCTTTAAATGTAAGCATGAATTGTTTTCTACCTGGTGGTAAATATAACTATTCTTGTATCTTGCATAACTGCTGTATTTTAGAAACCTTACTTTTTACTTAGGTATTTTGATAATCTTAAACAATGAAAATTTAAATATGGCAAGTTTGTGATTATAATGAAACACAAAAATTGAACAATTTTTGGTTCTACTCCAATTTAATCATATTTACATCAGCTGTTTGGGTTCCACTGGGTTCACTATGACTCTAAAAACTTATGACTTTAACACTAAGTTATTTCAGATTCACAATAATTCCAAACATTCATCTAAAACTGAGGGCAAGCTCACAGCTACAACTGATGTAAAAAATAAATGACTTAAGCAACGTCAGAATCACACTTATATGATTTTTGAAAGACTCTGGCAATAATATGGTGAGAACATAATTTTCTCAATTCTGTAATTCATTTGATAAGTAACCCCAAGTCCCGCCCACTGGGCCCTGGCCCTACCCACAGCTCAGCTCCTGCTCGTAGCTTCAGCTCTGCGCATGCATGCTGTGTGCCTCACCTGGGCCTGTCTCAAACACATCCTCTGAACTCACAATACCAGAGGCCCCCTCAGCACCAACTCGAACTTTGTATGCTGTTCCTGGCATTAGACCCTTTAACCCAAAGAAGCTCCGAGAACCATTTACAATTTCTTTCCTCCATTCTTCTTTGCCTATGGAAATTTTGCAAAAACAACACAATTGAATATTTTAAAGAACTAGAAGTTAGTATCTTAAGAAAGGAAAATATACGCTAAAGACAAAATTTAGGATTCTTAAATTTATTATTTCTCTATGCATGTCAAATAAATCAAAAGGCAAATAAGAGAAAAAAACCATGAAAATGTCCTCAAAGTGAAACGAAGTGGATTTCCAGATTGCATATTAATTCTAAATATTCCCATCTGCATTAAATCTTCTTAGTAGAAGATTTATCTGAAGTTTATCAGAACTTGCCTTATGAAACTGTTGGGTTTCCCTGGTGATATTTATGAAAACAACTGTTATACATGAAAAAATGATGGGAGAATTTCATAAACCTTGATATCTTAAAATTTGTCCAACTTGCAAGTTCTTCTTTTCCAGAAAGCTGATTTAACTAAAGGAATAGTAATAGCTAAAAATCTGTATTTGCATGACAAAAGTCCACTGAGTTGGACCATATTCAACATTTTGTCATATTTATTAAATGCATGGATTATTGTATGCAGAGTCTACTTTATTAAGAATGGGACATGAAATTTTCACAATCTGCTGATAATTAAAATTGGCCAGGATGTAAGCAGGGTGCCTGGCTTGGGAATAACTTAAACATGGAAATACAATGTTTGCTCCCTCAAAGTGTTAATTTTCTGCACTTTTTGATAAAATACTATAGAGCTGTATGGGCAAAATAACCACTTTCAAATCAATTTATCTCTTCTATTTCAAGATTCATTCTAAACAAACCTTCTTCCTTACTTGTTTACAACTAGGATTATTCATTATTGCTCTCACTTACATAGTATGGCTATACAACAATTTAAAGCATCACTATAGGAAAATTCATATGCCATGGAACTTAATCTGTTCCTTACTTTTAATAACATAAGAGGATTCCTATTTTGTATGATTGATGTTTGTTGGTTAATTCACTGTAATTTTTGGATAAATCCAATTTATTTAATTGGATCAAATAATTTTCTCAATATCATCCATAGTAAATCTTCAAAACTGTCTTTAATCTCTTAAAATGTATCCCCCAAATTAAAAAACAGGTAACAAAATTGTTTCTTACTGCCAACTACACCATATTCAATATAAAAGTTCACATGATCTGGTCCCTCATAGTCCCAACTGATATTGGCATGGGTCTCAGCAGCTGCAGTAGTAAGATTGCTGATCTTGGGGATTACTGCTTGAAATAAATATACAATAGAAAAATAAACATTCAAATTGCAGCATCATACACAAAGATATAAAATAAATTTAATTACTCTGAAATTGCACAAATAAACACTGATGGAATTTAGATAGTGTGCAAATTTCACTTTAATTACAGAAACATCCTTCATTTGTTAAACTACAGCATTAGGAAATAAATTAATAATCAGAAATAATGAAGAACAATACTGAAATTAATGAGCTCTATGATATGATTAATATATGAGTTCTGGGCAATGTAAACTATTGTCCACTAGGTACAGTCCTAGAAAACATAAGAATACTCATTAACTGATGAATGGTGGGGAGAAAAATTGCTAATTCTGGGGGCCGAGATCACCGAATTTCATAGCTACAAGGTAAAACCCAATAGCAGGACTGGAGAGATCTCACAGAGGTTAAAGTGCTTCCCTTGCAATGAAGCCAAGCCTGGTACTACATATGGTTCCCCGAGCACCACCCAAAGTAAACCCTGATCCCGATGCAGAGCCAAAGTAAACCCTGAGCACCTCTGGTTGTGTCCCAATGATCCTACCCCCTCCAAAAAATAGCAAGCAGTTGCTTTTAAATTATACTTATGATCTTAGTGCAGATCTTTAAAGAATTTGTGCTGGGATAAGAAAGGATGTTCCTTGAACAGCAGGTGTTGGGGCCAGGGAGGCAGCTCAATGGGCTGGAGGCATACTTTGAATGCTCGAGCCCCAGTTTGGAGCTCTGGTATCAAAATGGTTCCTGGGTCAGGAATCCCCCCACCACTACTAGTTATGACCCAGAATAAAAAATCAAACAAACAACAGCAGCTTCTGAACTGTTTTGAGATACAACGGTCTTTAAGAAACTTTCATTTGGGGAGTTTGGGGACCTTAGTGAAGAATTGCTTAAGAAATTTTAGATGATTAGGGTATGCAAAAGAGAAACTGAAAAAACAATTGCCAAATACACCTTGTCAAAAATGAAGATAGAACAAATAAAAGGAATAAGAACTATTTTGCTTGACACATGGTGGAGAAGAAAACTGTACCTTCTAAGTGTTTACAATGTACCACTTTTGAAAAAAAAACCACAGTACAATAACTTAGTTTCCAAAGTCCCTAAACTATGGAGATGACATAACTCTAAATGTCTGCACTGAGGAAAGATAACTCCTACAGTCACCAGGAGATGTTATTTGCTCTCTGAGAGTACCAAGTCTTTCAGTCTTACCTCAACTGCTTAACTAAAAATTACGTATTTAAATGTTTGGCCACTTTTATCACAGAAATTCTCATTCTTGTTCCCTTTTCTGCTATTCATCTACTTTCTGATGGACTGAACAAACACTCGTGGAGCACCAGTAACTTGCCAGACCAGGGGACTTAGTGCCATTTCTCATCTGGACTTTCTCAGATATTCCCTCTAGTCCTTCTCCACTAAGTGTTTCTTTGTAGATTCCACCAGTGCTGCTACTTACAACTTAGCCCTGTAAACTACAGCTCAGATTCTGTTACTTCCCTGATTAAGATTGGAATGGCTTCCCTCTGCCTCCAGTAAACTAAATTCTTTAGCTAGGTATTCATGGCCATTAAGGCTTACTCACATCTGGCTTCACCTACCTCTTCATTCATGTCTCAGATTCTTCTCTTTCTCATGTGCTCAACACTTCCAACAAATCGGAGTGTAGCTATAGCCCAAACATCCTATGGGTTTTCATGCCTATGCCTCTGCTTCTGCTCCCTGTCAAGAATCTGTACATTAACATCAGATTCATTGTGATCCTTGTGTATTTTAAGATCTCACATATTGTTTGGCCTGTGTGGGTGACCAAGTGGGTAGGTCACTTGCCTTGCATATGGTCAACCCTGGTTTTGATCTCGGTACTGTATATGGTCGCCTGGGCACTGAAAAACGACACTCATGAGGATAGAACCAGGAATAACTCCACAAGGTGTGCCACTCCCAACATATAACAACTCCAAAATAAATAAGAGTCTTTCATCTTTTAGTCAGAGAGACAGCACTGTGGGTAGGGTGCTTGTCTTGCACATGGCCAACCCATGTTTGATCCTCAGCACCCCATTTAGTCTCCAATCCCTGAGTGCAGAGCCAGGAATAAGCCCCTGAGCAGCTCTCGATGTGGGCCCCAGCCCCTGACAAAAAAAGAATCTGGTAAAATTGAAAGGCCAGAAGGATATTAGCTGTTGAACTTAGAGAACCTTGTATACAGTCTTTCCTTGTATACAGCCTTTTGTTGTTGCTGTTGAGGCCAAATAAAGCTTATTGTTATTTATCTTCATTAGTGTTATTAAAGTAGTTATTAATTAATTATTTAACAGTCCTTAGTATAGTTATGAATTTCACTATTAGTTTCATTCTTGACTTAAGTAGGTAGCACAAGAATCAACCCTGGCCAGCCTGACAATAGGAAAGGAGTCGTCACCAGCACCTGTGCCTTCCTCCGCTCAGCAGGAACTAATCACAGCTGGCTTCTGTTCAGGTCAAGAACCATGGTCAGATCCTCACTGGTCAGTTAGTTTCTCCCAGTTTATGTACCCCAATTAGTCACCTCCAAAGTGTATTATCAATGACTGGTATAGACAGTTAGACAATAAAATATTATAGAAAAATGATTAGTGATTAGTAATAATGGGTCTCACAGCTCAAATTCATTATTTCTATGCTTTGGATTCATTTTAATTGAAGTATTTACTGGCCTGTCTCCTAGAATTCCAGCACTATAAACTACTGAAAGTGACACATTCATCGAATAAATGCAGCCAATCACTCTAATTCTTACATAGACACTGATGGTTTTAACTGAACAAAGGTATGATTCAAAATTAGTGACTCCTAAATATCTCACTTAACTATTATGTCGAGAAGAATGATTAGGATGAGTTAGTAGGGCATTCTGAATTTACTTAAATTTTCCCTGGCTTCTACTTCTTAATTTAAAATGTCCTTTCATGTAGACTATAGACCAAACATGATTGCCACTCAATGCCTCTTTTGCAAACTACAACACCCAAAAGGAGAGAGAGAACAAAAGGGAATGCCCTGCCACAGGGTGGGATAGGGGGATGGGAGGTGGGAGGGATACTGGGACCCGTGGTGGTGGAAAATGGGCACTGGTGGAGGGATGGGTATTTGATCATTGTATAATTGAAACCCAAGCACAAAAATTTGTAAGTCTACAACTGTACCTCATGGTGTTCACTAATAAAAATTAAAAATAAAATAAAATGTCCTTTCATAATTATACATTTGAAAGCATGGTTTCATTAACATATCTTAAAATCTGTATGAAAAACTGAAAAGGTGAATTCATTTGCATCTCTTCCCTTCTTTGACCAGAATTAAAATTACTAGAGGTTGATTCCATGTAGCTAATATTGCTTTTCATTTTCGCCCAATGATTCATCTATCTTTCACATTGTTTTTAATAAAAATATGAACAATATGTGAGATCTAAAAATTCACAAGGATGACAGAGAGTTTTTCTCTTCTCTTTCAGGGAGAATATAAATTCCGTACAGAGAAGGAATTTTTTTGTTGTTTTAGAAAGGATAGAATTCATTCTTAGGTTAAAAAAGAAATATTTTTAAAGGTAAAAAACCTGGTGTAACTAATTTTTCTTGAGCAGTTTAAAGTCTTTTCATGGTAAAATGGCTAGCATTTTATAGTACCGCTGTATTATAAAGAAAATCTATATAAAGTTTCAATTTAGCTTAAAATATAAAACATGATTTTCTTTCTTATCTAAAATTCATCAGATTTTAATATTTGTACATATCTGTACAAATTCTCTACAATCATAAGAAATCATAAGAATATGCTAGGGGTCCATGCAGTTCTAGTGCAACATTTTTTACTTTTCTGTACAATCATAAGAAATTCATAACTATATGGAAAACTCTGGGGACATTTGGAAATTATATGGAAAACTCTTGGGACTGGAGAAATAACTGAAGTGGTAGAGCACATGCTTAACATATGCTTGGTCTCACTTCGATCTCCACTCCCACATGCCTTGCTCACACTCTTTCCCACACAAGGGGTATGGTCTCTATAAAAAAGAAAAATCCTAACCTTTTTATCATGATATTTTAAGCACAGCGGGTAGGGCGTTCGCCTTACACGCGGCCAACATGGCCGACCCCAGTTCGATTCCTCCGCCCCTCTCGGAGAGCCCGGCAAGCTACCGAGAGAGTATTCAATATGCCAAACACAGTAACAACAAAGTCTCCAATGGAGACGTTACTGGGCCCACTCGAGCAAAAGTTTTAATTAATTAAAATTTTTTTAAAGGGGTAATGTTCTTTTCTTGGGACTGTCTAACATGACAAGTATATACAAAACCCAGACCTGCTGCAGTCCAATAATTCTGCTACTCACAATAATTCAGCTACTCCAATAATTCTGCTCGTTACATAGACAGAAGCAGAGGGACACGCCACTCCTAGGAAGGAGGCAAATTTTTCTCTAATAGTGGGACACAGCAGTGCATTATCGAATAACCGCAGTTGCTTTCTAATCATCCCAGGAGAGGCTTATGTTGTTCTACAATATCAAAGAATTCTTGAATTTGCTTAACTTTATTCTTTCAAGTCCAAAAAAATCTCACATCAAGATTACTGAAAATCACGATAGTTCTCAGCTGCTTCAAAATATATTAGTTTAATATAATTTTCCAAGGTGCATTTCAAATAGAAGAAATATATTAGGTCAATAAATCACAAGATTTGAATGACTTAGAGCAAAATGCTTACTCCTTTTGACCTTCCTTTTGCTATTCCTATTTGGATTCAGTCAGTTAAAGCCTGAGAAAGCCCTGGTCTTGGGTATTCCTCATGAAAATCATGCTCTATGCAGGGACTCCTGCTTTGTAGAAAGCTTAAAGATCAACCTATAACCAATGAGAGTCAAAGAATGGGGGATCTTTGGGAGTGCCTCAAAGGGAAATATGTAATAAGTTATTTAAACATCTTCTTCCAATATATCTGTCTCTCCCGGAGAGTTATAAGAAATAAAGGAGAACAAAAAGAATCCATTGTGGATTGCTGGCTATTATCCAAGAGAAAGAAACTTGAGCAATTTGGTGAAGAAAGGATGGAACAATACAACAGAGCCGAGCATGCAAGGCTAACTTGAACACTTGCTGGTAGGGGATCCCAGTGAGATTTTTAGACTTGGGCCAAGTCTTAGGGAAATGCTAAACTAAGCTTCTAAATGAGCAGTGTTGAACAATGCCAGAAAATATGTATACTGTGTCTACAAGAAATACATCTAAATCAGATTAGAAGGGGAAGCTTGATTGATCCAATTTCTCACATGATGATTTCATCTAAGAATAATATTTCTGAGTCCTTAAATATGTGACATGGCCATAAAGAGGATATGTGACAAATGTGTAGTTTTTATTCTGTCGGATACAGCCACAGTTGTATCATTAAGAGTTATAAAAATTGAGATTTTGATTTGACCAGGGCAAAATCTTAAAAAAAAAAGTTAGAATTCACTGTGTGACTTTCTATTGGTGAAAAAGAAAAAAAGACAAAATAATGTTAAAGTCAAGATCTCCTCTTTTGAGTGTTGCAAAGCTTATTTTCTCTTTTTGACCCATGCTGCACTTTTCCATGTTTCACATTGCAAACTTCACACATGTATAAAATCATGCAGATGAATTATTTTACCTTTGCCTGCACCTACATCAGGTGGAAGAATACCAGCTTTAATGAAGGGAAACAGAAATAGGAGACTGTATAGTTAGATGTCACACACCCATGAGCATGTAAAGCGATATAAAAAACATTTATTAAAATGCTAAAGCATGCAAGAAGAATGAAGTGTACCATATTAGATACAGGAGACAACATCTGTTGGTGTCTCCAAACTTACCCAGTAACCAAATGCACATATTACTTAAGGTGCATGATTCATACTTGGCTACTATGTTAGAAGTCTTAGGATACTTCAACCCAAGTTTTTGATAGAAAAGTGAATTTCTTATGCTATGGGGTGCAATCAAATAAATAATCCTTAAGCAATTCTACAATTTAGAAACATGCAAAACTTGAGTATCTTTTACAATATTTTTTTTATCCCTTTCACTACATCTAAATTTTTCAAAATGATTTTTAACGATGTGAAAGGTGTTAATCACTTTAGATAATTTAATGGGCCTAGTTAATTTTTTTCTGTACCAGGCAGCATACCAAAATACAAAGTTACATGCTCAAAGCAAATGAATTATTTAATAACTATTTCAATTTTCTTACTTGAAAATCTAAATCAGTATGTAGTCTAACAAATTATTTTCTGATGAATCAGAATTAGAATGATCACTGTCCATATTTATATGAATGGAGATGTGTGCATCTATATGTAAAGTTGTAGATATAAGAAAAACATACCCTTGAACTTCAAATTCAAGTGTGGCAAATATTTTAATTTCCCATTCTCACCTCAATTATTCAATAGAAGTTGAAAATCTTCATATGGCTTTAAAAATATATAATAGAGTTATTCTCATTTACCTGATCTATATCAGAATGGGAAATAACCAGCTTTGTATTTATTGGGTAAGATGGATATTAATTGTAAGAAGAAACAAGAAAGCATGAATGTGAACATTTTTTATTTTATGAGACTTATATGGATTTTATACATACCCATCTTACCTTCATCCACAGTTGTTACTGCTTCCTCTGTTATCTGACTTCCTGATCCTGCTGATGTCTGTGCATAGAAGTAAAACTTGTATCGAGTGCTAAAATTTAAATTTTTTAAAGTCCAGCGTGTCCTGTTGGCAGGAATTTTTAAATCTACCAGAGGGCCTAATTCATGTGTGTTGTTAACTGTCAACAGGAAAAACAAGCAAGGAAATTCCCCATTAATTGCTACATGAATATCATTAAAAATCAAAGTGTCAACTAAAAATGTCAAGCTTAGATTACATTGACTTTTATAATTTTATCACTCTGACATAACTGATAACCCTTCATAGCACCTGTAATAAGGTACAACCAAGCGAACAATATTTTTCATTGGCTTATAGTATAGGGGAATTTTATAACTGAATCACAACAACATTTCTTACGTCTTCTACATTTTTGAAGCTCAAGTCATGCATCATTATGTAAGCCCAAATCTTGTCTTTAGAGGCCTTGTGCCAAAGGAACCCTTTTTGCTACCATTTTCTAGTTACAAATAGCACCTGTCTAGTCTAAAGGGAATACCCTCCTCAGTGTCACACTCAGAGGTTTCTAGTACTCTACATATGGCTTAATTTTCAATGGCATATCATTCTTTAAGAAGTACGGTTTGCAGTTCCTTCTGGATAACACTTGGAGGCCAATGTGTATTTCTACAACTTCGAGAAAAAACAGCTTGTATTTTAGGATCACATTTGTTTTCATTTCTCATTCCTTTTTTAAAACCATATTTTCTCTTTCCCTTCTCCCAATAACTTACTTGGCTGAAATTTTAAGGTGTATTCAGTTAAAATGCCATTTGGGTGGCTTGGTGGATCCCATTCCAAAGTGAGAGAGTCCAGTGTTGGATTAACGATCTTTAATGACGATGGTGCACTAGGAACTTGAAATGAGAACACAGAGTCAACACAAGGTGACTGAATGTTTCAAAATATTTACAAATATTAAAAATGACATATTTCACCATGTTCCCACATTTAATCAAGGTCTGTGCTTTATGTTTCTTTCTGATTTTGTTTTGGGGATGAACCCAAAGGTGCTCAGGGTTTACATCTGGTTCTGTACTCAGGGATAACTTCTGGCAGGTCTTGGGGGATCATATGGGCTGCCGAGGATTGAACCTGGATTAGGTGCATGCAAGGCAAGCACCCTACTGCTGCACTCTCTCTCCATCTCTCTCGAACTCATTCTTGATTTAGCTAAAAATGCACTCACAGTGATCTGTGAAGAGCACCCAATTTTCCTCCTTTTCCTTTTTTCCTCCTTCCCTTTCTCCTGAGATTTAAAACTATTCTCTCAAAAATACATGAAACTTCTGTGTTTACAGGGTTGCAATCCAGTATTTTTAGAAGAGTCAGAATATCTACTTGTTTCATGAATGGTTTCATCGAAGCACTGTGGAGACAAATGAAATGATTCTAATGGGGCACCGGAGTAGACACAGCTGTGCTCTGGGCTCTTAAGGACTGTTTTCTCTCACCAACACACTAGGTGCCTCAGAGCCATCAGAGCACCCTGCCTGCTGGGCTCTGGGCATGAGCCAGCTGCCCAGGTGCAGGGCGGCTCTTAACTGAGGAGACAACAGATGCCCAGAGTCTCCTGGCGACTCCAGTGCTGCCAAGCCCGGGACTCTGGTGGTGGCCTATGGGGTGTCAAGTTTTCTAGGGCAGAGGCTGGCAAATGCCCAGAGGAAACATGCCGTGTGCTTCATTCATTTTCTCAAGAGGCGGGTGGATGGGGGCAGCTCTCCTGCATATTCCCTACTCCGAGCAATGGCGCCACTGTCGCTCCTGACACTCTTATCTGGAGACCAAAGAGTCCACTCCACCTTCTCCCTCTGCTTCTTTTTCCTGATCATCTGTCTCAGAAGTGACTATGTTCTAAGGCCATGTCAATCCTCCCCATTCTACCTCATTGATTTCAAACCTGTCATTTCTTCCTTTGGTCCCTGACACCACAGCATTTCTGACATACAGTTCTAAGTGTCTGCAGACCAGGAAGAGGATCTTCTCTTTGTAGATCAAAGACCCCTTGGAGACTCTGACAATAGCCACAAGTTTCACCCCTAAAAAGCACTGTTTAAATATAATTTTAGGAGGCCCGGGGAGTTTCTCAAAGTCATGAACTGACCTTTGAAGTCTACAATCCCCGAGTAAAGAGCCTTTGACTTGCAGGCTAATATCCTGTCTTTCAAGGCCATCAGGAATGTGTCCTTTCTAGCTGACTGGTTTTCTCTGTATTCATCATTTCTTCAGTTCCCTTAAGAAACCCACGCCATTTGTGTTTTCAGACATACTACTTCTCCTTCTCCTATTTTAATGTCCCAATCATCTCTTCTATAACGCCTTCCTCTGAGCCATCTAAAGGACTGGTGTGACAGTCACCAGTGCAAACCTTCAGCGGAAGGAGCCATCACTGCTACAGGTCAGTGAGACTGAGGACAAGTAACTGCGGTGAAATGAAAGTGGGGGTCCCAGATGACTCTCACAGATTGTTTCAGAGGCTGCTCAGATGGCGAGTCTCCAACCAGAGTCAGGACAGGATTCATTTTGTTTACTGAAAAAGATCTAGGGAATCCACAGAAGCTAGCCATAGGAATCATCTCCAAATCACTGATTACAATTCAAATAAAATAAAGGCCATTTTCATGCCTGGTCATTCCCTCTCTTACTACAAGTTCCTTCACCCCCTGGGCTCACATGTCCTTGTGCTCCAGCTGCTCCCTCCCTCCCTCCCTCCCTCCCTCCCTCCCTCCCTCCCTCCCTCCCTCCCTCCATCAGTGTCTGCTGGGGCCTCCTGTCCATCTTCCCCTGAAGTGGGCCAGACTTAATTATCAAATCTTGCCCTGCTCTTCCCAATTCACATTCGCTCAAGACCTTCTAAATTGATGCAACTTCAGAATAAACTAGGAAGGCACATTGAGAAAGCCCGAGTAGTAAACGAACACTTCCACAAAGATTAATTCCTTCTTAGGCTGTTGCATTGAGCTCTCACGCCTTTCAAAGAGGAAACTAAAGGTTAGAGAAGTTATACGACTTGCTTCAGGTCAGAAGGTGAGTGCTTCCAAGAAATGTTAAATTTGTAAAGGTTCAAAATGTAAGATTTATGATGAAGACTGGAGAACAGCTCTAAGTTGAGAGTGGGGAAGAGCTTAACACATGCGAGCTGTGTACCACCAGTGGCTCACACTTGAATGTGGTTTCACCTAAACAAACACAAACTGCACACCTAGTGTCAATGTGTTATGACAGTATTTTGTGTTCTGCAGCCGCTCCAGACCCTCAGGTCCTATATGAGCTGAAATTTTGGCAGTTTTGTAGTGTGTTCTGCAACGGGAAAATCACATTTGGCTTGCAGAATAGACTCTATTTAGAGGTCCTTCAGGTTGTGCCAAATTATATATATATATATATATATATCATGGTCCTCCCGTTGTTCATCGATTTGCTCGAGCGGGCCCATATATATATATATGTATATGTATATATATATATATATATGGGCTGGAGCGATAGTGCAGAGGGTAGGGCGTTTGTCTTGCAAGTGTCCAACATGGCTGACCCAAGTTCGATTCCTCCGCCCCTCCCTGAGAGCCCGGAAAGCTACCAACAGTATCTTGCCTGCATGGCAAAGCCTGGCAAGCTACCCGTGATGTATTCAATATGCCAAACACAGTAACAATTGTCACAATGGAGACATTACTGGGTCCCCTCAAGCAAATTGATGAAGAACTGGAGGACAGTGACAGTGATATATATATATTGCCATGTATATATAAATATATATATTGCCATATATATAAATATATATATACACACACTCCTAAGATCACCAAAAACACATTTACCACATACCTCCTTCTGGGGTGTGAAAGACTCTATTGGGGCTGGCCGGGCCTTCCCCTTTCCCATTGACCACTCGGACATTCAGAGTGTAGGGGCTGAAGGGCTCCAGACCGGGCAACATGCCGTGGGTCTTACTACCCTGGAAAGTGAGGATCTTCTTCTCAATGTGGCGTCTGTTTCTCTTAGAGAAACTCTGGTCCTTCCAGTAGTAAATCTGAAACAGCAAGAACAGAAGTGAGAGAAATTCACAGGAGCAAAAAAAGTACTTAGGCTCACAAAATTCAAATTTCATTGCTTTTATTCCCAGAATATTCCCTTGGTGCATTTCAGAGGATTATTACTGGCAAAACTGATGGCTATTGATTCTGAGGCAAGAGAGTAGAAAAACCACAGATAGAGTGAAATTAAATTAGGGAAAGTGATGAAGATGCACAATATTACTTTGTTGAAAAGGACAAGAAAGGCTTCGAATAACATGTTTTGTTCAATATCCTTGTGTGGTGACATTGATATAAACAAAACAAAACTAAAACAGTCCTAGATGCTAAGCAAAATGAATGTATTCAAAGACCTGTCTTTGTTTCACTTAAAGCCACTGTTTTCAAAAACCTATCGATGACATTGAGAGATTATGTAAAAATAAAATAACTGGAAAGGCAGGAAACTCATACAGTTCTCTCCATAACATCAAGGAAATAAAAGAGAAAATGGAAGGGCTTAAGTCTCTTTTTTTTTCTTTCTGATTTTTTGGGTCACACCCGGTGATGCACAAGAGTTACTCCTGGCTCATGCACTCAGAATTACTCCTGGAGGTGCTCGGGGGACCATATGTGATGCTGAGAATCGAACTTGGGTCGGCCACATGCAAGGCAAACACCCTACCCACTATGCGATTACTCCAGTCCCTAAAGGGCTTACATCTCTTATGCTGTAAATGATCCTATAAAAATTGCTACCCAATATTTACATGCTAGATCAAAATTAATACAACTTCCTATACCATGTATCAGTTAGTCTGATTCTAAAACCCAAGGGACTTACCCACCACACCAGGGCTCCTAAGAGATACAGTGGTCCTCTGACTCCAAGTATAGAATTTTTGCACTGAGTTAAATTACATCACTTCATATAAGACACTGAGTTTTGTACTACATTGTATGCACAGATTTTGGAGATATGTTTGTGAAAAATGATGATTAATTATGGTTATAAACTGAGCTTAGCATGGCAGGAAGATGGAGTGGTGGGTTGGGGGACCCTGAGACAGTAGTAGAGAGAAGCAGAAACTCTGGTGGAGGGTGTGGGGTGGGAAATGTGTGAAATGCATGAAACCCTCTTATGGTGCCTCAAATAAAAATTAGAAAATTAAAAAATACAAAACTTTCAACTAAACTTCTTTTAAAATTTATCTTTGGAATTTAAAGACATTTTTCAGGAGAACTCATCATATATGTAAAATTTGACAAAGGTAATTACTGGTAATTACCAAAGGTAGAGAAAATATTTTAACATTATGCAGTATGAAAACATGATCTCTAATGATTAGAGTTAACAAATCCAAAGAGTAACTTATTTATGGGTGCAAATAGTTCTTTTATTGCCTATAAATAAAAAATATCCATGAGTATTTCTGTGTTAAGAACACAGATAGCTGACATTTAAAAGAATGCCCCAGTTGGTACTAGGTCATCTTGAAGTATAATGTAAATCATTTTTTCAAGGGTCTAAATTATTTTCAGAATAACTCTGTGTATTCAACACATATGGTCAGCATTGGTTTAAAATCCAGGGCAGCTAGTTTTATTTTAGTATAAAAACATCATTTTGTAGCATTTTGTGCACAAGTTAACTGTTTCATTGGTAGAACATGTTCATCTGTGGAAGAAAAAATAATATTTTTCAAGTGAAGTTAACACAGAATGAGACACAGAAGAAAGTAAGTGAGACTTGACCCAGGGTACTGTGTGTGTCCTGCCTGAGGTGATAAACTAGGCAGGTGGATGAAAGGTCAAGGTGCTCTCTGATGAAGGAATGTGAATCTGGCCCTTGCTGGCAGCCTGTCAATAAGGCAAAGGCATAAGAGCTCTCCCTTTACTTGCCCGATAGCCTTGCAGATGTCCTCGAATACTTTTCAGAGGTACTGGATCCCACTGCACCTCGGCTAAAGTACTGTTTACCACGTTCACATGCACATTCCCAGGAGCCACCATTGGGACTAGAGAAAGACAAGAAGGGGATAGAAGTATCAACGTTATTTTGAAGTTCATGCAAAATATCACATGGTTGACAGCCAAGGTCCTGCTCTAGTCTATAGGCTGAGAAAAGATTTTTTATATAGTGTTTTTTCCCCCATTTGATTTTAGGGAACAATTCATCTTTCCCACCCCTGCCAATAAAAAAGTACAAGACTTTTAACATTACTTGCATAGCAGGCTAAATTCAGAAATGTAGAGCAAAATAATTGCCGCCTCCCGCCCATCCTTTCAAGCTATGCGATTCTGGAAAAGGTCTTGGCTGCAACTTACAAGTCTGTCCTGCTAAGGAAAAGAATAAATAACAGCATCAGATACTTACGGTCTTCTCCAGAATGTCCCATGACTACAGCTGGCTCTGGAGCAAACCCGGCATCATTCAGAGCCTGGACTTTGATCAGGTATGGAACAAAGGTTGGTGTGCCTGAGACAATGTATTTGGACACATTTGCCACCACCATGGATGTCCATTCATCATCACCATCTTTCTGGCGCCAGCTAACTTTGTATTGAAGACCTGGACCATTAGATTCAAAACCATTCAAGGGCTGAAAGGAAAAGAAAAGTCAAACAATCAGAGTATGTAAAACGGATAAACTGGATAAACTTTTACAGAAACATCAAGTTCTGTAAAAGTTAACTTGGAAACACTAAAATACAAACTATTAACAACTTTCACCTGGATTATTTATTACTTTTCATTTTGATGAAATTCAAACACTGCTTGAGATCAACACTTTAAAAAAGTACTTTTTAACCATTTTACACATATGGACTGGTGCAAACAGGAGAAATATTTCATAGACTGTGAAGGTAAAAATAAAAACTACCATTTATAATCCAATATTTTATATATCAATATTTATAATAATACTACTAGTGATCCAGGTACTAAGCAGAAATAATTTTTTCTTCAATTGGCAGGAAATTTCTGTGAAACTTCTGGCATGGGTCAATAAACTAACCATTGAAAACCACTACTTTATATATTTTGTTTGTTTTTGTTTGGGGGGCCACGCCTGGCAATGCTCAGGGGTTACTCCTGGCTCTGCACTCAGGAATTATTCCTGGCAGGCTTGGGTGACTGTATGGGATGCCAAGGATCGAACCTGGGGCCTTATTCACTGTACAATCTCTCTGGCCGCTAAAAACCCACTGTTTTTTTTTTTTCCCCTTTATTTTATTTTATTTTTTTTAAAGTTGTAGATTTACATTTTTTTGTGCTTTGGTTTCAATTATACAATGATCAGATACCCATCCCTTCACCAGTGCCCATTTTCCACCACCATGGATAATATCCCTCCCACCCCCATCCCCCCATCCCCCCGTCTCTGTGGCAAAAAACCCACTGTTTTAAAGAGTAATTTCTACCTTGAAGAAGATAATACCACAGAAGCATCTCAAACTCTGCCTTCACAAGCAAAGGTAGATATGCTTAAAACACTTGAGTGATAGTTTCCTTTATTCCTTTTTTGTGTGGCATTATTAAATCATTGTCTATTTTACTTGGCAGCCAAATCTTATAAATCTTATAAGTAAATATTTTTTTACAAAAGTTTTGTTATCCATCCTATTTCTACACAGATGTATATATAAGAATGTACAAAAAAGCATTCATTTAATTATATAAGTAAAATAAGCTTACAGTCATACAAGTAAAAGCTACATTAATTTTCCAAGTCCAGAAAATAAAGATAAGCTAAGAAAAATAAAAAACACCAGGAATAAATTGGCATAGACTGCCTCAACTGTTCTCTGCACTCACAGTGATTCTGGCCAGAAAGTACGGAGCATGTATGTGCCATGCACTGTTCTAGGTGCCTTTTATGTATTAACTCCTTTAATCTTGTGAAATTAATTCTACTCTAATTCCGAGCACATAGATATATATTGGAGATGTAACAAAACTGGACTAGCATCCCAAATTCAGTAAGTAGCAATGGACTTGGATCCATCCATGGTGACTTCAGGTATTAAGCTACAACAATACTGACTCTTAAATATATATATCCCCCAATTGATTTTAAGACAAATACAATTAAAAACACCCCCCTCCCGTCCCCAATATATACCACGAAAAGCTTAAGGGCTGAAGGGCTTAATGCAAAACTTACCTTCCATGTAATCACCAAATTGTCAGGCTCTGATCCTAGTCCTTCCACAAATGTAGGGTTTTTGTCTGGTTCTAGAAAGTTAAGTAGTTATGCGCATGTAAGTGTTGATCTTATTTAAACAGCGGAAAATGTTTTCACTTTCTTTCACATTGTAGAAGTCCCACATTACCTGCAGGTTTCGTCAGATATTGTTCAGAAGCCTCACTGGGTAAGCTTCTTCCAAGGCTGTTTACGGCCATCACTCTGAAGGAGTAGTTCACGTACGGTGACAACTTCAGCTGGGCTGTAGTTTGTTCTCCAGAAACTTCAGTTTGGTGGTGCCACACTCCTGCCTCATGCATTGCATCTTCATATTCAATGATAAATTCTGGCCACAACACAAACACACCAGTGAACCCAAGATGGTAAATTCAATCAAACCAAAGGGATGGCTGCTAGGAAAACTAACAGGATAATCTGATAAGATTAGCCAAGGATAAATTGTTTGACTTAAAAAGAAATCCCCATTTGAATGTTTTTGTTTCAGAGTTCTATCAATATCATAATAATTAAGCAGTGATATCTGGTATTTTCTTTAGCAGGCTGTTTTGTTATTTAAACCTGTTTATATGAGCTCCACACATTCCTAAGGAGGTATACATAAGAAAAGATGGTCATTTTTTTTCATAAGTTATATGTGGTGAGACACTATTTTTCACTAACAGATTTGCAATGGAAATTTCGATACACTTTGTTACCTATGGCACAGGAAATTGAGTTTTCTCAAACTTGTGGGAGGGGTAAAGAAGTACAACTTCAATAGAGATCAATTTAGGTCATTTAACAATATTTAACTTAAATAGCCTTTAGCAATTTTTCGTGAATGAATGTTCTTGTGCATCTGCTCAAAGATGCATGAAAAAGAAAATGATGCATGTTGTTGCAACTGAAATAACATAATTGTAAACAATCCAAAGATTCATCAACGAAACCCTGATTCAGTCAATTGTGAATTATGATGCAGCCATACAAAGGAATACTCTGCAGGTGTAAAAATATGAATGGTCTGCTCCTGACTAACCAAGAAGGTGTGATTTCTAAAATATACTATCAAATGAAATAAGCTATTTTTTAAGCTGGACACTACATGTGAAAAAAGTAAAAATATACATATATACACATATACACTTGAATTACACTTATTATATTTTAGAGCTTATAAAGTGAACATATTCTGATGTTGCCAGAACTGATGACAATGAAGGGAGGAAGATAAACTTTCTATATATATTCTCCTGCATCTACTAATATTTTGTTATCCACATTTAACTCTTACAAAAGTAGGCATTTAAACAGTCATTAATTAATTGCCCAGTATGTGGTATGTATCAAGATAGGAAAAACAGACAAAAGATGAACTAGAAATATTCTATATATTTTGGTGCTCCAAAACTAAATAATAGAGTTTGCCTTTTATCCTGCATTAGTTTACTGGTAATCAACAATCTCATAAATGAATGAGCTTCACATTTATATTTGCAACGCCCCCCCCCCCTTTCCCAAACTGCTTATATTGGTAGTTAACTGGCTACTCGCAATTTTATTTGCTTTTTTATTACGCACTGCAATCTGGATAGGACCAAAATTGATCCAGATCATCCTCCTCAGCTGACAGTAGCAACCCAGAGCCAAACCCTGGTGTCCTTCTTGGCCCTTTCTTTCCTCCCTCCCTTCCCTCAGTCTTCTTAATAGTCCTTTAGGCTCTATTTTAAAAGATATACTCAAAATCTGGCTGAAGGATAGCACAGCAGTAGGGCATTTGCCTTGCGCACAGCTGGCTCAGCCCAGCCTGGCTCGATTCCTTCACCCCTCTCGGAGAGCCTGGCAAGCTACCGAGAGTATCTCGCCTGCAAGCTACCCGGGATGTATTCAATATGCCAAACACAGTAACAACAAGTCTCATGATGGAAATGTTACTGGGCCCACTCAAGCAAATCGATGAACAACTCGGGGACAGTGCTACAGTGCAGTGCTATTCAAAATCTTATCATTTTCCAGCACTCCCATCTCTCTCAGCCTATTCCAACTCACCATGATCTATCATGTTAATCAAATTAACTCTTAACTCACAAGTTCCCAAACCTTCTCATTTCAGGGTATATTTAGTGTCTTGATATTTTTTCCTCTATGGGTCACTTAAACCAAAAGAAGTATCCCACAGTGTACATGGAGCACATGAGTTAGAGTCACACACCTTCTAAGTATTCACACTTAATAGTTTAAGAATGATTGAGCATTCCCTATGCTCTCAAACCTTGTAAAGACATTAGCTGTCACCTTCCTCATTTCCTGTTTCAAAACATGGTGCTTGATTTTTTTATCTCGGTAAAGTCCTTTTTGAGTGCCACACCTAGTAGTGCTCAGGGCTTACTCCTGACTGTATGCTCAGGAGTAATGCCTTATTTCTGGCATTGCTGGGGGACCATCTGGGGTCCCAGGGATCCAACTGTTCTGCTATCTCTTTGGCGTCCCCACACAGTCTCGATAGAGATGACACATCACAATATGATAGGACGTGGGGAAGTTTTAAATGGCCTCAAGCTTACATCTCACAAGTCCTGTTTTTAAAATATAAAAAATTTAAAACGAAACCCTTTAAAGATAGGCTGAGACACTGCAATGAGTTTTTTTAGTTTCATGAGGTCCTTCAATTAAGTTTGCTCTCCATGGTTATATCTGATCTCCCGACTTCCCTCTTGTTTAGAGACCATTTTCAACAGAAAAAGTGATTCATGTATCGCTCCTCTGCTTCAGTCTCTCTGCTGATTTCCCAACCCTCATGGCCTTCAGGGCCCTGCCCAGCTCACACACTCACCAGCTCTTTTATCTCTTTCACCTTCTCACCCTTACTGGAACTTATTCATTTTACACAAGTCACACAGGCTGCCTAATAAATATATCCTTGTCTTAGGACCTTTTGCTTTATTTTTGTTGTTGTTCTGGAAAATTCTTCCTTCAGGTAAATTGCACTGTACATTCACTTGTGTCTTTTTATTTTGTTTTTGGGCCACAGCCAGCAGAAGTTCTTGGGCCTTATTTCTGGCTCTATGTGTTCAGGGTTCACTCCTAACAATTTTTGGGGGACCACATGCAGTGCTTGGGGTCAAAACAATGATAGCTCTGTGCAAAGCAAGCACCTAAATCTCTGTACTATGTCTCTGGCCTTTCTCCTTATATCTTCATGGATGTAATAGAATATTATCTTCTTACTGGGGCCTTTCCTAACCACTCTATTCATAATTACACACCAATACCTGTATTTCTAATATCTTTCTCCTTTTGTCTCCTACATGACCTAAACACACACACATGTGCACATACAGAATCATATGGTATAGATATATTTGTGCTGGAGTCCTCTAGGAAGCTGATGTAAAGACAGAATGAAATGTTCAAGAGATTTACTTGGGGAAAAAACCAAGAAAGATAAACAGGAGAAAAGGCAGGAGTTGGTGGGAAAGACCTACAGACCTCAACATAGGTCACACATCTGTGAAATGGGTGGAGCAAGGAAGGAAGGATGTGGAGGAAAAATCCTGTACCAAAACACAGTTCTGAGACTGTTGCAAGCAGGTCAGCAAGGATCTCCAGAGTAAACACATCATCATAATACGATGGAGCAGAAGCAGTAGATATAGCTGAGCATGAGGCCCCTGGCTATACTGAGTCACTGGACAAGCTCAGGAAGAAAGTGCTTTCAGGGGTATATGGCTGTGCATCTGTCAGGGAAGGGCAGCAGGTTGATTTAGCTTTCACATTGCAGGTTCTCTTGAAGGGAGATCAGAGTAATGTATACACAGTATATAATGTGATGACATTATTCATAATAATATAATATAGTCTCCAAATTTTACCTTGGGCACATTCTCAATTAAAGTATAAGTTTGATATGGGCAGAGGTTTATGACTGGGTTAGCAACACTCAGTACATAACTGTCAATGAGACAACTTTTGAATGGGTAACGAATAAATGAACTGAAAGTCCTTGTACCTGGATATTACTTTTAACATGTTTCAAGAGTCCCTAAGCACCCAAACAAACTAAATCACACTCATGAATTAAATTATCTGGAAGACTCAGCAGTAATGAGTGAGTTTTCTCATCAAGGACACTGAAAACTCAATCAAGAAAGGACCACCACCAACAGCACAGAATAGGAGTGAGGTTTTATGGGGCTGGAGTGATAGTACAGTGGGAGAATCACCAGGAGGGATCCCGAAGTGAAGAACCAGGAGTAAGCCCTGAGCAGCACTGGGTGTGGCCACAAAACAAGCAAGCAAGAAAAAAAATGAGTTTTTTAATTAATTTTCAAAAAAATTTGTTTTACCAGCATGTGCAAGAAATCTACACAAGCATCATTTCAGAATAATCCCAGGTAGTCATCAGAAAGCAAGTTCATTGTCCTGAAGTAAATGCCTAAGGTAAGTGCCAGACTTGTGACCTGATTTTGTCTGGGATCCGAAGTATTTTTCTGTTTTAAAACTTCCAAGCATATCTACTGTCTAATTTTTATTAAATTCTTGCAGTGTCCATAAGCAGGTCTCTTCCCTGACTTTTCCCTAGGTTTATGTCACGGAGGTGAGGAACAGGCCTGCACAGCAGGTGTAGGGCTATGGTGGGTTTGTTTGTCAGTGTCGCCATTTATGCCACAGGCAACCTTGGCAGCTCTGCTGACTCCGGTCAATTCTTGGTCAATCATCCTGGTGTGTTCACACTATAACTAAAGGGGTGTGATCCCCAGCAAGCCCCATGATCAGGAAATGTGACCTCCTGGTGGACATGTGTGTGCATGTCACAGTAAAACCCAGAGAACACTAGACAGAGAACGGCCCAAGAGCACGTGTGTGAGATCCTAGGAGGCACGTGTATAAGCAGTGCAGAGAAAGGCAGGAAACTCTTGGAGAGCACCACAGTTAAGTGTGTGAGTATTGCAACCTGTTGTGCAACCCCCCGTGGGCTCAAATAAATGTGAGCACACCACCATCAGGCATATGCATAATCCTGGGTCACCAGAGCAGCAGCGACAATGGCAGAAGGTGGGGGGGAAGTAAACAAAAATACTTTTTCTAAAGGTGAGGAGTAGGCACACTGTTGAACATAGCATGGCATCAGGGGCCAAGGTGAAGAAAAAGACCTGGGATGGGAATGTTAATGTGAAATGAGAGTGCATTTGCCTAATTAATCACTGTCCTCCCGTTGTTCATCAATTTGCTCGAGCGGGCCCAGTAACGTCTCCATTGGAGACTTTGTAGTTACTGTGTTTGGCATATCGAATACGTCACGGGGAGCTTGCCAGGCTCTGCCGTGAGGGCGAGATACTCTCGGTAGCTTGCCGGGCTCTTGGAGAGGGGCGGAGGAATCGAACTCGGGTTGGCCATGTTGGCTGTGTGCAAGGCAAACGCCCTACCGCTGTGCTATCGCTCCAGCCCTGCCTAATTATATTCTTTAGAAATTACTTAGTATCCTGGACCAGATGCTACAACCAGGAATTACTTAGCTACAAAAGAGAAGAGAAGCACAAATACTTTTGTGTTAGCAGTAATGAAGCTGAGACTGTGAACTAATATCTCAGAAAGGAATTTCAACTGCATATCAGAAAGCACTTCAAAATGGCATGAAACTTGTTAGTCAGAAAGCAAACGATGCCACATACTTGTAATCGGGCTATTGTTGTCATCGCCTGGGGTCCATGATAGCTGAACACTTTTGTCCAGTTGATCTGTCAATTCTAAATCAAAGGGAGGATTTGGGACATCTGTGGACCAAACACATACATTGTAGTTAGCCACCGTTCTTAGAAGTCTCCTTTACTTTTCACAAAGGGAGATAGTAAAGACACAGCATGCTTAATGGTCGATGAGCATGCAACAGAAATGAAATGGATGCAACTGAGTTGCTGGGTACACACCCGGGATAATAACCCATCGATGAGTTCTTTTGCTTCTTTTTTTTTAAGAGAACTATGTTTAGAACCTAAACTTGTGAAATAGGCATGGATGGTTCCCCAGCACACTCAGTATTTTCTCATAGACATGAATGAGCACAATAGAAAAAATAACACGGGAGCTTAATTTTTAACAACTGGAAAACAGAATAAGCAACTGCTGAAAAACAAAGACAAATAAACATACCGTTTAAAGAGGACACAAAGGCGCTTTCTGAAACATGCTAACTTAAAGATCTGGGTGCTCCTGAGCAACATTTTTTCAATTTTTGTTCACTATTGTTTGGAGCTTTACCAGGGTGCCAGGACCCAGAGGTGCTCCAGAGGCTAAGTGGTGCCAGGGGTAGAACATGGGGTCCTACTCATGCCAGGCAGAAACTCCAGCCATTGGATTGATCTTTCTTGAAGAATGTATTTTTTAAGGGAATTCTAAAATCAATTCTATCTTTGTAGCTCTCAGTATGCCTGTCTTATGCACAAGCTCTGTACAATCAAGGCACCTGTGGAGTTACAATCATGTGGAGGGTACAGACATCTGTAAGGACAGAGGTATTCCAGAAGCACACTAGCCTCTTCTAGTAGTGTTTCTAAGACCTTTTCTCCAGGTCTTTTCCTAACCTTGTTCATGGGAGTACTTGGTTCTTGAAGAACTAGACATCATAGGAAAGCACCACCAAGGCCAGGAGCCCTTCTCTCCTTTCAGTAAAGAAGCAGCAAATACTTACAAAGAACAGGGCTTCTACCACATGGTTTATGATATTCTTTTTTGTCTTCGTTGCTTTTGTCCTACCTGCTTTACTATCTCTCTCTGGCCCCAATTTATGACATTCTGTAAATTCCAACTGAGACTAAACCACAAAGTAATTTTATATTTATGTACTGAAGAAACATGACGTTTCCTTAACCAAAGAGAAAACTACATAAATTACTTTTGAATCAGGAATTTATGATTTTCTGATTCAGAAAAAAATCACATGACCCAGAAGCTTCCTCCTTTTGGTCTTTTATCAGTGATTTATCTTTGTTAACTCACAGTTTTCTCTGATACATGTATCAAAATGTTCTAAATAGTCATATTTGCCTAGGGTAATTTCTTGAAAATGGAATACTAAAACAGCATTGATTTTTTCAAAACAACTTTTCATAGATTGAAATAAAAAATAATTTGTGAATGATATTTGAATGAAGAAATAATTTATTCATTCTGTGAAATATGGAGATGACTTTTGAAAAGTCAGCATTATACTACTTTACAAAGAAATGATATCAAAGAGGTCCTACAATTAAGCGAATGACTTTATAATAATGCATGGAATATTTAGATATAAGTGAAAAATGTATTTGGTGAGCAGGTCCAGGATAGTAATGAACAAAAGATTTATAGCAGTAAGTGGGAACACAACAGGAAATTTGGAATAGCCCTTTTCTTTAAAGAAACACAATAATAGAAACAAGTCTGAAAGCATGAAATTATTTGACAGAAAATAGAGAAAGAAGACTCATATTAGTTTACCGTAAATGGGAGCTGGAGTTGGAGTAGGAGCTAGAAAGGACATTAATATAAAGTATTTTAATTAAAATTAGTAATGAAAGATAAAGATAGCACAAGGACACAAGACTGAACAAGATTTAAATTATAAAACTAAGCTTTACGATTTTCTATAAGACATGGCATCGATTAAACATGCGGTAATATTTTAGGGGGAACTTTCAACTTTTAATAAGATTATTGTCCAGCTATCTTATAACAATATCATAAATCTGCACAAATTCCATTTTGGTCCAGTATTCCTATACAGTGTTTATTTACAGTGAAATGATCACCTCAATGCCATCCTCCAAGGAAGAAAAGCCTGGACATCTAATTCACTTCTAAAACTGTAAAATTATAAAATCTTAACAAGCAAACATTTATTATAGACAACTATTGACAATAATGTTTTCACCTTAAAATAGGACAGTCTTTCTTTTTTTCAGGGGGAGGGGTTGAACCAAGCCAGCTATGTTCAGGGAACACTTTTGGCAGTTCTTGGGGGACAGTAAGTGGTGCCAGGGATTGAAATTGGATCAGCTGCATGCAAGGGCAAGTGCCTTACCCCTCTACTAACCCTCCATCCGCAGGAAGACAGTACAGTATTTCTACTGTATACATTCTAGACTTACCGACAACACTAAGCACGGCACTGGCAGAGACCATGTCCAGTGAAGTGTTGGCCACACACATGTAGGTCCCACTATCATCATCACTTACATCAGCAATCACCAAAAGGTCCTTTTCAACTGTGAACCTGTGGATACAAGTTCAGAGCAGCTTAAATGGACAATATCTGGCCAAACTCTGTAACTACTTTGCTGTCATGAAAGAAACAGAATTTGATGAAAGAGAAATTAGGAAAGGCGGGTAATACATTAGAGCTAAAGTCCTACACTGCCACTTTAATAATGATAAAAGTTTGAAAGTGATTAGAATGAATTAGAATCTTAGGTTTTTGTATCAATTCATTTAGCCTGGGCCCAACAACAACCTTTGGAGTTTTAGAAATTTTCTTAAAAATCAGAGATTTCCCCAGGTGAAGAGGTGGCGCCTTCAGATGCTCTTTATAGAGAACTCTGTTAAGGCCTTTGCTGCTAAGGAATATTCAAAACCCACCGATCCAGCCCAATTTGTAACACTGTGTGTATTCTATTTTTTTTTAAATTTATTTATTTATTGAACCGCTGTGGGAAAAATTACAGAGCTTTCAAGTTTAGGTCTCAGTCATGCAAATATCAATGTGTGTATTCTAAATGAAGATTTTCTCTAGTGCAAAACTTTGTGTTATCTTGCCTCCTGTGAATAAAGTCTTAGAGCAGAGAGTAAATGCAAACAATAGCTAGCTTTATCAGAAGAAACAGATCAGCAATCACCACAATGAATTTTCTAGTCCTGACTTGGTGCACGAAAAATTTCTCAGTTAATCTATGTGAATAGAATTCATGTATGGAATTAAGGAGGTTGCACAAATCTCCATCTTCACGGGGAATTTCCAAGTTAAAACACTAGCCAATTTAATATGCAGTCATTTCTTCACAGCTCCTTCTCATCTTTTTCAGAGTCCATAATTAAAACTGGCCAGCTAAAGCCATAGAACTATCTGGAATTATCTGAAGTTATAGAATTCTCCTCTGCAGACAGAGGAGAAAAGTCATAAAGTTGTTGTGGGGAGTTAGCTAGAAGTAACATGGATTGTGTTCAGGCATCTTTGCCAAGAAAACACAGAAATTATTTCCACCTCCATATGGCTATTTCTTTAAAGGGGAGTGATGCTTGTTCCCATCTTGTAACAACTAAAATTTACCCCATCAATTCTGAACTTTGTCAAATAGAGCACCTTTCCCAGAAAATGGTTTGATTTTTTTGCCACTGCAAGTTGCAGCATGCTTAAGCTCTTTAAAATGCTTTCCTATTTTATTTTTCCTTCCGCTTCTTCTGGCATTATGTAAAATCAAATAACAACTCCCCACTGAAATAGAAACCAGTGTCTTTAAAATATGGACAAGGATTCAGATGCACTCTGGTGATAGAAGAGACTGTATCACTGCACTGTAGCACTGTCCTGTTATTCATCGATTTGCACGAGCGGGCACCAGTAACATCTCCATTGTGAGACTTGTTACTGTTTTTGACATATCGAACATGCCACAGGGATCTTGCCAGGCTCTGCCATTTGGGTGGGATACTCTCAGTAGCTTGCTGGGCTCTCTGAGAGGGGTGGAGGAATTGAACCCAGGTTGGCCGTGTGCAAGGCAAACACCCTACCCACTGTGCTATCACTCCAGCCCACAGAAGAGATTGTATCTCAGCATATTTGTAGAATGGTGAATACATTTGTTGCGGTTTCACTGCACAAAATGGAAGACAGTGAAAGATGTCCAAGTCTTGAAAGGTTTTTTCCCCATTCTGAATTTCACAGGAGATCAACGAAGTTGTACAGCATTCTTAGGACTTTATTTCAATAACTCAATGAATGTTGAGGTCTGCACATTTTACAGTAAGGGAGAAAATGTGTACATATTTTGGAGAGAGTAGACTTGAGAAACTGAAAAAACTTCAAAATTTTTTACAATCACCATTAAGTCACTATATAAGGAAGCTTCATTTCAAGGGCTGCTTAAAACATTGACACCAGCCTGGCACATTGACACTTGTCTGCGATTTAATTAACCCAAGTTGCGGTCTCAAATCAACCTGTTAAAGAGAGAACTAAGACAAAGGAAAGAAATGATCTTCAAATACCTTCCATCACTGGGCAGCTCACTGCTGTCCTTCAGCCATGTGACTGTGGGGATTAAGGTGTGGTCATGTTTCACTTTGCATTCAAAGGACACCATGCTCCCCCTCTGCACAACTGCATATTCAGGCTGTTTAATGATTCTTGTTGGATCTGAAATTTAAAATTAGTGTTACCCGTTGCTAGCTGAAGAATTTGTTCCAAGTTACATAACATTTTTCAAAGTTTTTTTTTTTTTTATCATTTTTGTCCTACCTTTGATTTCTAAGTGAACTTCGTTCTTTGCCATTCCTAGTTTATTTCGTGCAACACATGTATATGTTCCTGTGCTGTCCTTTTGGGCCACAGGAATTTCCAAGGTTCCATTTGCATGTAAAATGTACATATCTTCATGAAGGGCACTACCTTTAGTTCCTTTAAACCTTCATTAGAGAAATGATCACAATGAGAAAAAAAAAGTCACAAATTGAACTCAAATATAACATACCGACTTCAATGTCTGTATAACCATGATCTGATTTTTATCATTTAAGTTCATATTTGGAATTGGCATAAGCATACTAAATGCTTACAATATGCTCATGTTAAAGATGATATTAAAACTGGATAATTCAATGTTAAGTGTGCTTGAAAAGTTAGGTTGACAAATACAAAATATTTAAATTGCAATTTCATGATGAGGCATTTAATAAATGAAATATGATAGTTCTCTAAATGAGCAATAAATCTAGAAAATTGAAGGCTACCCTTTTTTACATTGTGCACTTTACTGTGATTTATTTGTAACTTGATCTGCAGTATGTAATCCTAAAGAGATTTTTATTTCAAAGCTACAAGGGGGTTGTGCTTCTGAAAGCAGGACTGGAAAGATATTCAGGGAAAGAATGAAACAAAAGCATTATGTGCATGTGGTCAACTTGGATTTGATCTCTGGCATCCCATATGGTACCCCAAGCATCTCCATGAGAGTTCCCTGAGTGTGGAGTCAATATTAATCCCTGAGTGTGGCCCCCAAAATAAAACAAGGCAAGAGAGGATTGTGTGGAAAGTATATGCACAGCCAGCTTTTGCCTAGTGTCAGAAGACAGGGGAAGTGAGGATGGATGAGAACGTCTTCAGTCAAGTCAGCCTAGAGTAAGTGCTCATCTGTGAACCTCCACTAAGAAACATCTACATAAGCACTGTTGTCTCTTGTCGATGTTTAAGGGGATGCCCCAGGAGACTGCCCTTTATTTCTAAACCTATCTTCAATTTCACTTCAGTAGAAGGAACTCTGCACAACCCCAATACCTGCCAGATGATCAATAAATGATTGTTCTAAGTCTCTTTAACTCAATCTTTCTGAGCTTCTGCCTAGTCAGGCCTGTCTCTCCTGGCTCAGGCTGAAGTGAAAAACCAGAAAGGTAAATAGTACAAGAGAAGGGATGATGTAAAGTGGAGGTACAAAGTATATCGGTGGGCTTACTTAGATTGCAGTTAGGAAAGCTGAGTGGGAAAGATATTAAACCTGGGAAGAACAACAGCTGTGACTTTACTGGACTTCACTCCCAGTTCAAATGGTAAGTTAATATAAAAAATATCCCAAATCAGTCCTTCCAAACACCATTTACTAAGACCAGGAAATGTCCAGGGCATTACAACAATATTTAATTTTTCAAAAACATACATGTATTTCTGAGGTCAACAAAGTGTATTGCTAAGTGGAATAGTTATTAATGCTTAATATGAAAATACTGGGCATATGGCAAGTAGCTAACTGATAATTAATGTTTTGTTTTGCCTTTTTACCTATTTCTGTTTGTTTGGGGGCCACACCCAGTAGTGGTCAGGAATTACTCCTGACAGTTCTCAGGGGTCTAGATACAGTGTCACAGATCAAACTGGGGCGTGGCTGTATACATGGCAAGGGCCTTAATCCCTGTCTCGCCTCTCTGGCTCCTCCTATCTGTTTTTGACTAAAATCAAAGATACTGAGAAACCTAAAAGCTATAGCAAATGTGAATATTAAAGACAAAAGGAGTTATTTACTTACCATTCAATTGTGGGTAGTGGAGACCCAAAGAAGGCACAATCCAATAAAGCAGGCCTGTTTGCAATGACCTGATAGAGTGTGTTTGCAGATGTAAGGATTCGTGGTGGCTCGGCTAAAAGCATTTTTGAAAGATGAAGAAAAAATTAGAAAAAAAAACATTTAGGGCTGCTATATGGTCACTATATTTTGCTTTAAAATCATGATAGTTTGGTAAAGCACAACCAATAGGTTTCTCTTTTGTTCTCCATCATGTGTGACACTTCACTTGTGCCCTGCATCTTACTCAAGGACTTTAATAAATCATCAATTTATCTGTGTTTCTATACTCTGAGTTTCACGTAGGCAGGGAAAGAACTTTTCATTGGTTTTTCTCCAGAACCGTGCTCAGCATCTTGCCCAAAAGAAATGGTCAAGCACATTTTTCTTGAACAAGTGATTTATAATAACCCCAACTCCATAACAATGGAGATGGGTGATGTGTGTGGTAAGGGGCACTCAGCTGGTCGGAAATAGCAGCATTCTAAGGACTGAAATCCAGACCGAAAGTGTGCTTCCTAAACATCCACCAATAACCCGACTGTTTTCTTCATGGAATTTATCTATCTTTCTTTTAAGCATAAAGGAAAAGCACCAACCACTGGTTGGCTTTCTGACTATAATTGTGTTTAGAAGGAAATCTACTAGACTTTATGAGTTGAAATGTAATTCCCTGTCCCCCTAAAACAATTGTCAGATGTTTTTTCAAAAAAAATTAGCATTTTTCGTACCTCTAATCAATGTCTGCAGAAACCAATAATTTTAGAATGTGTGATAGTTTCCCAAACATATCATTATAAATTAATAAGTGTACATTTGCAACTTGAATGAAGACCAAACATTATCAACAATTTACTTAGGAATCAGAATGATAAGAAATTATAACTCAGCTTCTCCATTTCTAAGGTGGAACAAGAGTAACATTCAGTTACTGAGAGCCAAACAATGCTATTTCCTTTTGAGAGGTTTGAGGAGTAATCTATTTGCTTATAACTACAGATGAGGAATTTGCCATTAAAAAATATTACATCGCTATAACATTGAGACCTGAATATAATACAATCTGAGTCAAAGTGCATACATTATCCATTTTTATATATCCCTTATAAATCCTACTCATTCACATAAGAGATGTTCAGTATGTTTTAGCTAAAAATTAAGTGGGGGGAGAAAGCATTCATTTACTATGCTTTTAATAAGGGGAAAACTTACCTAGCACATTCACAAATGCATTTGCCAGTAAATATCCATATTCATTAGAGGCATTACACTGATATACTGCACTTGAACTTTCTTGAACATTTGAAAAAATAATTGTATCACCTTCTATTTTTCTGCTTGGATCACCCGGGGCAACTGTTAGGGGAGAAATAAAGGGTTTGTATTTATTTCTCTTGATTAAAAGATGTACATTAAACTTAAAAAGCTTGAGTCTACAGTATAGTAACGAGAACAGAAACGTAGAATGTTCTAGATATTTGCAACGTGAAGACTAACAATTCAGGCAGATTTTAAAAATTTTCTTCCTTCAAATCTAGTTATCACTAGTCAGCATGGATACATATTCAATATTCAATTAGCCTAAAAATCATTGATTCTGTAAGACAGAATATAGTCTTGTGAAATAAACAAAAAATAAAACCACAAGTTCAGTGAAAACAAATTTAGGAAAACATTGCTTTGTTTGCAAAGAAACTGCTTATTTGTGAAGAACCAAGTTAATTATCAAGAGCAGATAGGCAAAGCTAATAAAAAATTTAAGAAGCTTCTTTCTTATTGAACCGTGTCTTTGAAGAGTCATTTATTGAAGTAGATATGTCCATGTAGGGCTAATAAACAAATATGAAAATATTATTTTTCTGCTTTGGAAATTTCTGAGACCAAAGTAAAAATCAATTCTGTATAATTTCTTTATAGTTAGTGTTTTAAGCTAAATATCATAAGCACTTAAAAAATGTTAGGAAAAGGATTGAGCCTCACCAAAATGGAATGGAATAGTTGGGTATAATATATGAGAATTTAGTTTAGGATACACTCAGGTATCTGGAACTGCTGTTCTGTTGGCAATAAATTTCTTTTTTGTGAATACTAAACTTATGGGGTGACCTTACATTGCTTCTTTTTGGAAGGGGAGAGGGGGTGGTAGGTTGGGGAGGAACATCCTAGTAGATCCTGTGGTATTAGAACATTGTATGTATGAAACTGTATCAATAACAGTATAGTAAATAAAAGTAAAGATACTGAGGTATCTGTCTCAGCATGCTTTTCAAAATCAAAACTAAATTATCAGCATTCTTTCCCTTAAATTTCTCTTGCAACTCAAGTCTTTGTTTTAATTTTTTTTTATTTTATAAGGTACTTCACAATATTTGATTACATTTAATGTTAAAACATCAATCCCACCACCATTACATCTTTCCACCACCAAATTTTGGGTGTTTCTTTCCCAAGCCCCAATCCCTGTCCTTAAACACAACCAAAATAATATATTTTGTATTGTCTGTTGGGCTGGAGTAATAGCACAGTGGGTAGGGCGTTTGCCTTGCATGTGGCTAACCCAGGTTTGATTCCTCTATCCTTCTTGGCGAGCCCTGCAAGCTACCAAGAGTATCCCATCTGCACGGCAGAGCCTGGCAAGATCCCTGTGGCGTATTCAATATGCCAAAAAGAGTAACAAGTCTCATAATGGAGACGTTACTGGTGCCCACTCAAGAAAATCGATGAACAACGAGAGGACAGTGCTTCAGCGCAGTGCAGTATTGTCTGTTATGAAAAACCGCTGAAAATGCTACAAAAAAGTATCCATGTAGGAAACAATGTGATGATTGTTCTATTTTGTTAGGGGCCATTAAAACATTCTTTAGGATACCACTAACATGTTGTTAAAGGTTGAGTAATGTGAGCTTTTGTATACACATATCTGAAAATGTGTATATATGCATATATATATATATATATATATTTCCCTCTATAATTGGTTGCCTACTATTTGAACCCCATCAAATATGGTGTGGTACTTGTGGAGAATGAGTAGGGAGTGTCGTATGATGTGTTGAGCGGCCACAAATGTGGCCATGCAGTCCAGGAATACGTTCATTTGTATGTGAGGCTCAGCCGGAATGTGTGGGGAGCGGCCTTGAGCCTGGAGGTGGTTGGGTTCTGGAGATTTTCGGCTGCCAGAGCTGGGTCCCTTAGGGTGGGAAGGGCTCTCACCCACCCCTGTCTGGTGTGCCCAGGCAAGTCGAGTCTTTTAAGTAGTCTTTGCTTTCTTTCTAAGCACTATTTTCTTTCTTTCTTTCTTTCTTTCTTTCTTTCTTTCTTTCTTTCTTTCTTTTGCATTTCTGTCTCTTTATCTGGTATTATTGAGCACAAGGTATGTTGAGACCCAATGAATTCTATGTCTCCTGAAATAACTACTTGGGGCAGTTTCTTTCTTTTTTTTCTATGATTGACTGTTCTCAAGTTTATTTTTCTTTTCTTTACTAATGCTAGGAAATGAAGGTGCATCTAAGACATGTATTACTTCATTCTTCACTGCTTTGTTATTATTTTACAATATCAGAGGGTTGATTTATTTTTGGTCTGTTAACTCACTCTAATAAGAATAAATTAAGCTGTAGTTACATATTCTTCTTTTACTATTTATATTCTAAGTATTATGCTTAGTTATTCATCATTAGCTTTATATTGTTGCTGGAACAAGTTACTACAGATTTAGTATTAGATTTTTGTTTATTTGTTTTTGGGGTCTCACCTGGTGATGCTCAGAGGTTACTCCTGGTTTTTCACTCAGGAATTACTCCTGGTGGTGCTGGGGGGACTATATGGGATTCCGGGAATCAAACCCAGGTTGGCCACACGCAAGACTCTACCTACTGTTCTTTCACTTCAGCCCAGCCAATTAATTTTTTCCACTTTATTGAAGCATCACATTAAGTTTGTCATGATGCTTTGTTACAGGCATTCAATAATCCAACACCAATCCCACCATCACTGTCATCTTCCTTCCACCATTGTTCCCAAATAGCCTTCAAGCCTGCACTGATGGCAGCCTACAATAATTTATTTTCTATTGCTTATTACTACCAAATGGATTAAAAATACTTCAGTAAAAGAAAATTTGTGAAAATTCTATCTCACCCTGGGGACATTACGTGCTTGTGAAGATTTACTAAGCTGTTGTTACTAGTTATAAGTTGTTGTTACTAGTTAAGCCTTCTGTGTTAGTGATTTTGCTAATTAAGCTTAGTTTGGCTTCTATGTTACACTCCCATACTGTGTTGTGTGCTCTTACTGGGATGTTAGTATTGTATAGTTTGGAGATGTCATTCCAGAAAATCTTGAATATTTAACTGGGTAGTGAGTTTATATGGCAGAAATGGTGGAGGGAAAACCTACCCAACTTAAAGGTGCTTAAACCACAAATTGAGTAGTCTCTGAGTACTGCCAGGCGTTCTTCTCTAAAAGTCCCTCCCCCCCAATTTACAATTATATAATTCTACATATGGCTGTATCACACTCTGATGACATCTACTTTTTTTTTTTAAATTAAAGGCCCTCCCGTTGATCGTCGATTTGCTTGAGCGGGCCCAGTAACGTCTCCATTGGAGACTTTGTTGTTACTGTGTCTGGCATATCGAATACTCTCGGTAGCTTGCCGGGCTCTCCGAGAGGGGCGGAGGAATCGAACTCGGGTCGGCCATGTTGGCCGCTTGTAAGGCGAACGCCCTACCCGCATTAATTTATGAAATCATCTTCGACATTCTAGTGATAGTGGCATGCAAGATGCTTTGAAATGGCATCATAGCTTAGATGAAATAATTATCTTATGACTAATTATTTCAAATTTGCCTTCAGGGGTATGTTCTTCCAAGCAGATGGCAAAGTGAAAGTTCTACTTCCTTTCACAAGGCAAATGTCATCAAATAGAGAGGAGAATAAACATGTCACTCTGGGCAAGAAGCAAACTACAACTGGCAATCATGTCCCTCATCCCAGATCCCAAGTGTCGTATCCTAGATACCTTCATGATTCACAGTTTATTCACTGTCCCAGCAAGGCATGCTACAAATAATATCTCTGGAGGCTCTCTCTGTTTATTACTCTGAGCACTCAGCCTTCAGTGTTGGGACTCCCCAAAGAATTCTCAGTACCCACCACCTGCCCATTCCGATCATACCTCTGTGAAGTGCCAGGCAGTACAAGGCCAGAAGCATGATGCCTGAGACTTTTAAATGATGAGGAGTCCCACAGAGAGCTAAGTCAAATCTGTGGTGGGTGACAGATGGGGCCAGGAGAGCCCATCCATTTCTTGAAGGTGGATATTGAGCTCTTGAAGTCACACCAGCAATTGGTGTGGGAAAGTATACATTTTGGTGCAGGATGTGGTATTGGAACACTGTATGCATGAAACCTTGTTATTAGCAGTGCTTTTGTAAAAGTCACAGCATCTGTACTGTTCAGGTTTTTCAAAATAGGAATGTGCTAGAGGTTGTTTCACAATGAAGCTAATAGACTAAACATTGCTGAACTGCATATTGAAAATGACTAAGATGGTCAATATTCTGTTGTGGGGCCAAAATAAAATAAGCTTCTATCACTATGAAAATAGAAGTCTTGCACAAAAAAGTAAGCCAACATCACCATTGTCCCCTACTGGGGAAGTCTCACTCATCACAAAAACCATTTAAAAAAAAACTCCTATGTCACCCACTCTTTGTTTTGCTCATAACACTTTTCCAATGTTATTTTTGAACAGAAAAGTACTTGACTGCATCTGTGGTGCATCTGTTAACTGGGGCAGTCTTCAAATATTTGCTTTGGGCAAGGTATTTAGGAACCAAACCTTTTAGATAAAAATGAATAAGCACAATTCTTTCCTTGAGGGTATTGGGCTGTATTTTTCTCAAGCACTTACTTAAAATAAGCAAACAAGCCCTGGAACTAACACGGGTGACAGATGGAGGCTCAGCTGGTACCTGGACAAGGAACAAAATCACCAAGGCAGAGATACTGGGGCTGTGTGTTGCGGGATGATACTACAGCATCCAAACCCAAATCAGGCAAACGAATAATAATTAGTACTGGGAATCACCAGTCTTATTTGCTGTAAACAAACGCTCGCTGGAGAGAATACTTTGAGAGTATGTATGAAGGAATTTCACATAAAACTTAAGACCTCAAAAATCATCCCTAGAACTTTGGAGAAAGCATTCCAATAATATTTTCTCTTAACCTAATTCTTCTAGGATGGTATGATAAAACTAAAAATGTTCCCAACAATCAAATGGCAATGATAGCAACTGTTATAATAGTCACAGGTATGAAATACTATTCGTTTTTAAACTAGTTTATTA